GGTCGTGAAGATTCCCTGGAGCAGGATATGGCAACCCAGTCCAGTATTCTTGCCTGGAGAATCCCATGGAAAGAGGAGGCTGGTTGGTTACAGTCCATGGGGCTGTGAAGAGTCAGACACCACTGAGCCACTAAGACGTTCACTTTCAGGGTGGATAGAATTACAGCATCCACTTCTTAGAGTCACTGTGAGGATTAAAAGTGTTTATACATGTAAAGCACTTTTTTTTTGGCCATGCAGCATGTGGGATTTTAGTTCCTCGACCAGGGATTGAACCCATGTCCCCTGCATTGTGAGCACAAGGCCTTAACCACTTGACTACCAGGGAAATCCCGACACATAAAGTACTTAGATCACAGTGGCAAGCATATGATAAATAACCCAATGACACATGTTAAACTGTGGTAGTAGTCACAGTATTGATAGGGACAGAGTAAAAGGACAAAGTAGGTGATTAAATAGTTAATCCCACTAGGGGACTGTAAATAGGAAAACTATGGGAGACTCCCATAAGCTAATGGTTACTCAAGAAAGCAGGTTTACTTAACCACAAAACCAAGCAGATGCACGAAGCATGTCCCCAGACAATAAAGCAACGGTGGCATGAGACCCACATCCTGCCCAGTGAGTTCAGTAGGACACACACTCTGCACACATAAAAAAAACAATCATTTGTGGACCCAGCTTGACCATGTAGGGACAAGAAAAGCCCCCTGCTCAGTCTGGAGGAGGAGTTGATGATGGACACACAACATCTACTCAAGAAAGACAAAGACGGTTTTCTCCCCCTCCCTACTTTTCCTTTGATTATAAAAATGTAAGCCACTAAATACTCAGGACATGGTACCCCCTTGCCCACGCACTTGTAAGCCCTGTAAGTGTCCTGTTCTAATAAATCACTCTTTATCTATCACTTTGGGCTTCCCACATGGTGCTAGTGGTAAAGAACCTGCCTGCCAATACAAGAGACATGAGATATGAGTTTGATCCCTGGGTCAGGAAGATCCCCTGCAGGAGGGCATGGCAACCCACTCCAGTATTCTTGCCTGGAGAATCCCATGGACAGAGGAGCCTGGTGGGCTACAGTCCGTGGGGTCACAGAGAGTCAGACACGAATGAAGCACTTGGCACACATGCGCATCTATTACTTTGCCTCTCACTGAATTCCTTCTGTGCTGAGACATAAAGGGGTAGAGCTCTTCAGAGTCCCCTGAAACATCACCCAATGGTCTCATCATCATCATCATCATCATTAGTATTCATTGTTTATCTGCCAGGTCCAGATTCATCACTAATTCAGAAACTTGCTCCTTATTTTCAAGCACAATTAATTTCTCCTTCATTATGCCCCCTTTTTTTCTGTATATTTCTCTCTCACGACTCTGACTTCTTTCTGATTCAAGTGTCCTTCTCATGGTGACATTGGTTCTTAGTGATCCCTCATCACCCAGCAAATAGGTCCTTAATGTTTGGCTGGAATTGAGAAACCCAGTAACTATTGTGACACGCGGGTTTGCTTGCCAAAGCAGGAAGCATGAATTCAAGTCGGAAGGAAGGATCATAGTCAGGTGAGCAAGCAACATGCATCTCAGAAAGCTCCAGGCTTCAGAAATCTGGAAAGCATCCGAAAATCTGAGATCATTTCAGCATTTGAGAAGCATACTAAAAAGTATTCTGTTTTAATGATCTCATGCAGAAATTCACAATCTCATAGCTTGAATAATACAATCTCCCAGACCTGGTTTTCCTGCAAGATATTTTGTCACTCTCTCACACACCCAACGAATTCTGAAACTGTTTTTGTCGCAAACACTGGTGTCGGGTTCTGTCTTCAACCACATGGAGCTGTCTAGCCCCCGATCTCCTTTCTCAATTGCATTTTTGTGATTTTGTAATCGGGACTGCCTTTCTTCTACAGCATACCAACCAGTCTAATTTACTTAACAATTAAAAAATAAATAAAATCTACAGTGTATCGCCACTCTGAAGGAAAAAGTCCCCCAGAGCCACTTGGGGAAGCACTGCACAGCCAACCATCCCATCTCAGCATCAGTTTGGGTCTCAGACAAACTGGGATCAAACGCCAGATCTGGAGTCATCTCAGTACAGTCTGAGAGCAACGGCTGGAATAAAGCAAGCAGGAATTGGAGTCCTCTCTGATCACTGTCCTCCCCTTCAGGAAGGCCCCAGAGCAGGACTCAAACCTCTTTTCTGGGATCGATAGGGACACGTACAGCAGAGGTGGGGGCCCCTCCTAAACCCAGCTCGGGGCTTCAATCCGCACGTTTTCATCTCCTCTGTAGCCAGTCATGCCACGTCCCACTGGAACTCTGCATCCAGACGAATGCAGTTAGGTGGTGGTGATTGGCGTATTGACTCACAGCACTGATTTCTTTGGGCTTCTGTGAGCCCCTCAGATGCCATGGAGTGAGGACATCAAATTAGCAGGAGTCCCTCTCTGCAATCGAAAAGCTCGCATTCCAGCCAGGAAATGGACGGGTGAACAAATAAGCGACATGACAGGGTGAGTAGAAACACAAGGATCTGCAGAAGAGAATGCTCAGAGGTCGATGTGATTCACTCCACGTGGAGAGAGGAGAAATAGCTGGTGGGGTGGGGTGGGGGGGTAGTATGTGGGAAAGACATTCTGGAGGGGACCATGTGGGACCCCCCTTTGCCAGAGAAAGGAACATCTGACTGTGTCAGTTCTGAAACCACACTTGCTCTTTTTTCCCCTCGGTCTAACAGCCAAGACTGACTTCGGCTTTTCAGATCTGACCAGGGGAAGAAAAGTACAAGAAATGTGAAACCCAGGGGTGAGTAGAAGAAGGAGGACAGGAAAGGAAACACTCTTTATCTGCAGGCTCTTCCATCTAATGGTCATCTCTGAGCAGCTGGTCATCGGAGCAAAGGAATGGACGCGTCACCCACCCCCACGCCCGCACCCCTGCCCGTGATGGAGGGGAGAGGCTGCGATCAGGGAGGTGCCTGCATGTGAATACTCTCATCACCGGACTTGCAATTCAAGCTAGAGGTTGAGCCACGGCTGAACCCACAGCCAAGCCCCTGCTCTCAGCCCCGCTCCAGGGCCAGCCCGCCCGTACTGTGTTTTACCACAGCTGTTTCCTTGAGAAGCTGCAGTTTGCTTTTTTTTCTCTGAATACAGCCACAATACTTTCTACCTAGAATGCACGGGCAAAGTTGAGCGACTCCACAGACGCTGCTGATTCACCTGAAAGTGTCTCTCTTTTTAGCTCGTGGAGTGTCCTCACAGATGCCCGCAACAGCCGCAGGGACCACTGGTCCGTCCACGCTGAGGAAGCGGGTGAAGGCAGGCGGCGCTCACAGGCCCGAAGGATTCCTTCTTGCGACGGCGAGACGCCCCACCTGGGTGTCCCCTCGGGAAGCGTGGCACGGGCGTGGAGATGAGCCTTCAGAAACTCTTTCTGTCTCTGGTCTCTGGGCCGGAAGTGGATTCTCTCAGAAGCCAGTCACCCCAGGCTGCAGGCCTCAGTTGCCAGGCCCCGGACCTGACCTTGTATTAATATGTTTCCTTAAAGAGGGCTCCAGGCGCCATATAGGCTTCAGGTCCCTCAGAACTGTCCTTAATATATGACATTGTGCATGTGCGGGCTTAAGTCTAGAAAACCTGACATCTAAACCGAGACAGGAGAAGGCTGGAAGTCTCTTCTGGAAAGGCCCTCACCACTCACAGTGGATATAGATATCTTGCCACCAAGAAAAAAAAAAAAAACAAAACCCAAGTGCTTTTTCAGAATCAAAGCTAAACACTGCAATAGAAACCCATGATATTTCAGACTTAAACTTGATCTTTTCTCGTGGAGGGATAAAGAAATGAGAACTGATATTATTATCTTGCTCTTTACATGAGGTACCACTCATAATCGTTGCTATAATTTTTGTTGTACCAACCCCTATTATTTATTTAGCACTTACTCTGGACCAGAAGGCTTGACACATTTCTTTGCACGAACAGTCTCAGTCCTCATTACAGCCTTATGCCATCAAGACACCCATTTTACTGATGGGCAGAGTGAGGTTTGCAACAATTAAGTAATTTACCTAAACTCACACTCTAATCTGGGTCTGTTTAACTCCAAAGACTTATGCTTTGTTTAGACAGAAAAGTTAAGAATTTAGAATCTTCTACTGTCTTGGCTAAATAATCTTTTTCATACCAGTTCTAACTTCTTAGTAGATACTTGGGCTTCCCGGGTTACGCTAGCGGTAAAGAAGTTGCCTGCCGATGCAGGAGACGTGGGTTCAATCCCTGGGTTAGGACGATTCCCTGGAGGAGGGCATGGCAACCCACTCTAGTTATTTTTGCCTGGAGAGTCCCATGGACAAAGGAGCCTGGCCGGCTACAGTCCATGGGGTCACAGGAGTCGAACACAACTGAAGCAACTTAATTAATCTCTAACATGTATTTTCTTCTCATAATCTCTCCTTTTGTCAAGAAGTTCTATTCTGGGGCTAAAGAAGCTGAATTGCAAGACATTTAAATTAGACCCCAGCTAACTTAATTTGTTAAATTTTAAAATCATATTTATGGTCCACTTCCAGACTAGAGATTATGGGGGATGAAAAAAAATCAGAGCCTGTGAAGTAAATTCAGAGCAAAACAGTAATAAACTGTATGTATAAGAATGTACAAACCAAAAAGGAAACCAAATGATGCTCATCACTGCCTTTGAAAAAATTCACACCACACAGCTTTGGGAGAGTGTTTTTCAGTGTGGATTGGTTTTTCAACTAACTCTAAAGTATTCCTCCATTCCATTTAAATCATCCTTAGCCTACGTTTACAATGTGTACTATTCAATAAAATGACAAGTCATCCTTTGTCTAATTTCTCACTGCTGTTCTTTCCCACCTTTTCAAAGTCATCAGTGTAAAAGAAGTGATATTAACTGTAACCTCTGCCCACCCCACCCTTAACACAACCCACCCGAAGGGCTGGCCTCGGATGCTCAGCCTACCTTTGCCTCAGCTTCAAGACAGGAGACCAGGGGAGCTCGCTCTGGGGAAGAAAGTCAAGCTTTCTTCGAGTTAGAACCACTGACGTACTTCCCTTTCCTTCCGGTGGGCCGGGCAGGCGCCGAGAGCCTCTGTGGCTACCAGCTCCACGTCACCAAGGACCCCGGGGATAAAGCCACCGCAACCACACCCAGGTGCTCTTGAAGGCCAACAGTTTACGTTTTTAGCTGGAGGAAAGACCATGCAATGCTTCCGCAGTGTTTCACTCGAGCAAGGAAACTCCCAGAGACACTGGAGGCTTCAATTAGTCAAACGTTCCCACCTTTGCGAGAGGTTTCTCATTGACCTCAAGTGTAAATGACTCATGTAATCACAGCTCAAAGAGCAGCTGTTAACTCAAGAGTCGACTTATAACAAGACTGGCCTGGACTTTTGGGGGTAAATTGCACGGAAGCATAGCATACATATGGGGCTTCCCAGGTGGCGCTGGTGGTCAAGAACCCACCTGCCAATGCAGGAGACACAAGAGATGTGGGTTCGATCCCTGGGTTGGGAAAATCCCCTGGAGGAGGGCATGGCAACCCACTCCAGTATTCTTGCCTGGAGAATCCATGGACAGAGGAGCCTGGTGGGCTACTGTTCATGGGGTCACAAAGAGTCGGACACAGCTGAGCAAGTGAGCACACGCACAGCACACATATGGAATATGACACAAATCGTAAGAACAGCTGGATAAATTCTCCCAAAGTGAAGGCATCCAGATCAAGAAAAGAATTTTGAGCAGCGTCTCTGGAGCTTGCTCTGAACGACAAAATGTGTGCCTTTATGAGCAGCACCTACCTTCCTAACCAGCACTCGGAACACCGTCCCCCCCGACTTCCTTGCCCCTCAGTGGCTCTGGAGTCAGGTTGCTCCATCCCCCTGGTCCCAGTGAGGAGAAGACACGGGGCAGAGCCATAGCTACGATGGTCATGTACGTGAGCGACAAATACACCTCTCTTGTCATCGCCCATCAAGAGTCTAGGGTCATTTATTTCAGCAGCTAACCTAGCCTATGCTGACTGGTGCAGTGTGTCCATGTTTTTTATATACACAGAACTGATACACTATTTAATAACCATCACAGCTTGAAAATCAGCCAGTCAAGGACTTCCTTGGTGGTCCTGTGGTTAAAACTTTGTGTTTCCAATGCAGGGGGCATAGGTTTGATCCCTGGGGTGGGGAACTAAGATCCCATATGCTGCATGGCTTAACAAATAAATAAATAAATACTTCACTAAAAAAAAAAAGAAAGAAAGAAAGAAAATCAGCTAGTCAGAAGAAGCGCCCACTGTGCCCTGAGTTGTCCTTTAGTTGTTGGGTCTTAGGGATGAGGGGCGGGGGCCAGGACTGGGAGGAAGAGAGACCCAAGGGGTTCAGAGCAACAGCCACTAGCCGTTGGTACAGAGGTATTTCAGCCCCACTGTACCTGTGTTTCCCAGATGACAGCAGACCTAAATAAAGGCATTTCTTAGCTCTTCTTGTTAGCATGTGATTTCTCAGCACAGGATTCTCACTCTAGATGTGTGTTAGGCACAAGTTTATTTTCTTCTCCATTATAACATTACAGTCTTCAGACTAGTGTTTTGCAACTGCCGTCTTCATCATCATACGTATCGACATTATTAGTGACTTGGCATGACTCCACTGTACATCACAGTAACACACCCCTAACCTCAGGGGAAGGAAGGAAAACCTCGAACATACACAGGATAAGATTTGGATGGCAAAGGGCTGCAAAGCCCAGACAACACCAGGAGACACAACTGTGGCTGTGGATATCATTTACTGAGGTGACATGGCGAGGATTGTTAGGCCCACACTTGCTAAATAAGGCATTGACAATACCAATCCTTATTTCCAAAGAGTTTATCTAAGAGACTCCACTTGAAAGAAAGAAAGCACACGACACCTGCCAACCTATGGCTAAGCCCCAAATTGAAAAACAAACCCAAGAACCAATCCACTGACTGCACAAAATCTAAACATTATTCTAAAATATGGCTGAATACGGGAGATTCATAAGCAGTTCTGACTCAGTGTGTTTACACTCCAGGACTTCTGATGGACATTCATTCTTGGCAGAGCAGAAGTGCAAGTCACCTGCCAGATGCCACAGTGATTTTAAATTCCTTAGCCCTACAAAGTGTACATCAACTGGGCAGAACACAACATGTGCACTGCGCTTTCCCAAGCACTACAACATCACTGAGCCTAGAGGATTCAAGTCCTCACACTGACAGAAAGGAGATTTTCAAATTTTTCCATAGAGACCATATCCTAGTCAACTCCGCAGCTTCCGCTGAAGTTCACAGACTGCCACAAAGTCAGTGCTCACTGCATGTGTGCTAAGTGAACACACGGTCCTGAAGATAAACAGACCAATTTGTCCATTTCTGGGGCAGTCTCAATATAACTATGACGTGTATTACGATCACTGAATGAATAGTCTTTGACAGTTAAAACTGGAGAGTGGAACACAATGCAGATAAGCTGAGATCATGCCATTTTTTTAAAAAGTTCACATTCACATGTTTTCTGTTGATTGATGCATTTGCTGGTGACTTTCAGTCACGATATAACTTAAGATGGAGTAGGAAATGGCAGCCTACTCCAGTATTCTTGCCTGGAGGATCCCATGGACAGAGGAGCCCGGTGGGCTAAGGTCCATGAGGTTGCAAAGGGTCGGACACGACTGAGCACACACATTATACTGTCTATGTGATTCAAAAGCATTATCAATGCCGTATCCCAGCAGCCATTCAGGACACTCACTTGAATTAGGAAATTCTTAAAAGGCTGTGGAGCAATTTAGAAAAGATGTCTCAAACCTAACTCGGAACCTGTCCACTCCTGCATTGGACATAATTCTAACACACTCAGCTAGTGGGCCTCTGGGGCCTCCCTATGGAAGCAGAAGAAAATCAGAAGAGGGAAAAGGTCCCTGCCTGACTGAAGAGGGTAGTGCCGCTGAGGAGCTGGAGCTGGGCAGGTGGGGTCAAGTGACCAAGAAGAACACTTAAAAAGAGATCTTGGGATCTCAAGAGAAGCTAGGTGTGGGGAAGACAAAACACAGAAATGGCCCGCTTAGCATCCCATGTAGACTGAGGCTTGAGGCTGAAACACTGGAAAAAGTGAGTGGAAGCCAGAATCACAGAAGCAGAAACCAGGTGTGAGAGAGCAGCCCATCGCCAACCAGCAGGTCCCCTTGGTCAGGTCAGATGTCCAGGGCAAGGCAGCCTTGCGTCTTCCACCCTCCCCTCTCCCTTTCCCCACAAACCAGGAAGGTGATTGCATTTTCCTCCACTCCCAGTTCTCTGCAACTGGGTAGAAGGCAGAGCTAATGTGTGGGAGAATCATTCTTTTAACATGTTTTAATTGTGTGCTTACCACAGGCCAGGTACGATTGAAGGGGCAGGGGATCCATTAGTAAACCAACTGGATTTCTGCCAGCATGGAACTAAACTTCTATAGAGTAGAAACAAGGGTTGCAGATGAACTGAATGTGGGTGTTGCAGTTTAATTCTGCAAAGTCTCAGTGTCCCGTGGTCAAACCCTTCCTAGGAGGATGGGAAGTGGTTTTTAGCTACTGGGCTTTGGAGAGGTAAGAAGTGACAGCGTGACTTCGAGGGTGTCTTAAAAACAACAGAAAATGTAGCCCCAAAAGTCAAAGGTTTTAACCTCAGATCACATGCAAGCTGATACACCTATCCCAGCTCTTCTTGGAGAGCTGCTGAGAATTGCCCAGGGCAACCACTAATTTTTATAAAGACACTTGTATACAAGTTAAAGGTATGCCTAGGTCATTCTGGTCAAGGCTGCTAGGAAGTGTGCAGCATTTTACAACATTTTCTACCCCAAATAATGTTTTAATGGTACTTGAAGGGGGAAAAAAATTATATGGAAAACTTACTTCCCCAAAGGTAAGCTTCCTTCAGATCTAAAGTTTCCTAATCCTGAAACCCCAAAGGGAGCTGCAAACAACATCTCCGACAGCCCATCACGTTCAGAAATCACTTTACAGTTTGTTACTAAGTGTCCAAACCCGCTTGCATGTTCAAACCAATCCAACAAACTTCAGGGAGGTACAAACTTCAGGGAGCGGCCAGAACAGCCCTTCCCCTCCCGGCCTGGCTTTGTCCAGTTTGTTTTGTTTTAGCTAAGGCTGTTGGAGAAGACTCTTGAGAGTCCCTTGGACTGCAAGGAGATTCAACCAGTCAGTCCTAAAGGAAATCAGTCCTGAATACTCATTGGAAGGACTGATGTTGAAGCTGAAGCTCCAATACTTTGGCTACCTAATGCGAAGAGTGACTCATTAGAAAAGACCCTGATGCTCGGAAAGAGTGAAGGCAGGAGGAGAAGGGGACGACAGAGGATGAGATGGTTGGATGGCATTACCGACTCAATGGGCATGAGTTTGAGTAAACTCCAGTGAGTTGGTGATGGACAGGGAGGCCTGGCCTGCTGCAGTCCATAGGGTCGCAGAGAGACGAACACTACTGAGCGACTGAACTGAACTGTCCAGGGAGCTGCCTGGACACCCTGGTGGAGGGGAGGTGTCCCCAAGGAGACGCGCGGCTCCCGGATGGCGGGAGGAGCGGCGGGTCCCATCCCGCGTGCACTGCGGACGCCCGGGGGAGCACGAGTCGGAGGGAAAGGGCGGTGCCCTAGAGGAGGCGGGGCGCGAGCGGGGGTCGGTGTCTGAGCACAGGGGCGGGGTCTGAGCGCGCCTGCGCAGTGCGCTCCACTAGGGGAGGCGGCGGCGACGCGCGGGCTGCAAGATGGAAGACTACCAGGCCGCCGAGGAGGTAACCGCCCTGTGGGCTACAGGACTGGCGGGGGCCGTGGATGCCGGGTGCTGGTGGGCGGGCGGTGGCAGCCAGGGCCGTGTGCGGGCATCCGGGCTGCCTCTGGGCCTGGGTGGTAGCCGTTCCCGGCGCCCCGCCGAGCGCTTCGCAGCGACCCACCGCCTGGCGGACTCCGGGCGTCTTCGCCCTGTCCTGGGGGCCGGG